GAGCTTGGGTTCCAAGAGGGACCCCTGAACAGCTGGTGCTTTTCTGTGCTCTCTCAGCATACCTCAAAGCTTTTCCTGTACCAAGAGCAAGGGTCTTACGGTCATTTTCAGTCAGGCTCAAATCTCAATGTACCCACTGGCAAGACATGGTCATCTTCCTTCCTGTCCCATGCCTTAGCCCCTGGATATACTCTGTCACTGTGCTATGCCATAACAGGTCATACCCTGCCATACTCCCCACTGTCCTACACCATAGCCCCTGGAATCCCGTTCACAGCCCTTCAGTTCAATCAGCTCCTCGAGACAGTGAGCTCCCTGGACCCTGAGCTCCATTGGAGACTGGAGCTGCAGCAATCTCTCAGCCAGCTGGCCTCGGCTCCGACAGGAAATCAGGATGTACTATGGAACAAACTGTGCACACAAACACTGTTTACGTTTATTTGTTTAGCTGGCTTGAGACAAGCTCACTGTCGTCCAGGTGGCCTTGAACCCCTGCAGCTGCTTCAAGCCTTCACCTCCCAAATGCCGGGCCCACAGGGACAGACCGCCATACCCCACTTCAAACACGGCTTGTAGATCTTCTAAATAAAAGCGTGGACAAAATGGAAAATTTCCCACGCCGTAGTAAAAATAATAACCAGGAAGGAACAAGGAAAGGTTGTGTGACCCTGAAACCAGCCATCTACAAGTACCCCAACAAAAGCCCGAAGGAAGAGGAGGTTTAAGCTATGTTTATTCAAACTACTCCCTCGCTCCCCCCCCCCCACTTTCAAAGTCAGAATCTGGTGGGGTTCTCTTGTCCTCTTTTTCAATGTAAGATTACACACACTTAAAGCTTTTCCTAACAGGATTTTGTCAAAAAGAAGGAATAATATTTGCTTAGTGATACCAGTGCTCCAGGGACTGGGTCAGCTGTCTTCCCCTTAGAGGTTCTTTTGCTACTCCAAAAAATGTGAACTCCAAAGTGGGCCAAAATCTAAATTTTTGTTTGCACATGGACATTACACCACAGTAGAAAATCCCACATCTAATGGTATGTGGTAGGTCATAGCCAAAATGCAGACACATTGAAAACACTGGATAAAGTTACTTTCATGGTATGTGTATGTGTTTATAGGAAACATAACTAAATTTTGTGTAGACTTTAGTCCCTTCCCTGAGATATCTCATTGCATATATAAAGATATTCCAAAAGCCTAAACACAAAATACATCTTGTCCCCAGTACACTAATAGAGGAGATATAATCTGGATTTCAATCGTTTTTTTAATAAGAACTTTGTAATGGAAGCACTGTTTGACTTACTTTTCAGGCTATGGACGAAAACACTAGATATCTACCTTGCCCTGTAGTAGTAGATGGCACCAGGGTTTCAAAAAGGGCTTGCAGCCCTGACTATCAGATTGTTATAAGCTAGGTGTGGAATCTGTAGCAATAAGACATGATTAGCATGAGACATGCTGTTAAATCATGTAACAGGCATGTGGATAGCAGGATAGTATGGGAATAAAATGCAGACTGAGAGCAGTGATACAGGTAAGTGAAGAAGGTGCAGAGGTCTTAGCATGGTCTAAGCATAAAGGAGCCAGGGAAAACTTGACCATGGCCTCATAGAAATGAGGGGAAAAGTGGAGAGAAATTTTAGGTGAGGTGGCAATCAGAGCAAATGCTCTTTCCTGTCACACCACAGGAAAGCAAGGAAGGACATGCCCAATGATGCACGAGGAGAAGGGATGAGTCAGTTGGAGACCAAGGAACACTTGAAGTCAGGAACAACCATGCCAAAGCTTTGTAGTGGAGAAAGTCAAGTGGATACGTCACAGTTTGGAGGTGAAGAAGACACTAGTGAATTTGGGGCTCAAATAAGATACTCAGGCAGAAATGTACAGTAAGTTGAATGTGTAAAAGCACTGCTGTAAGAGAGTCCCCAGCGGAGGACACAGACTTAAACGGAGACGGGAACAGTGACGATATGACACAGAAAACAAGGGCAGGGCAGTAGCAGCTGAGAACCTGAGCGTGTGAGGAGGTGAGCGCAGGACTAGGAAACCAAAGAACTATTTCATTAATATATATCAGAACACTCAAACTGATATTTGGTTCAGAAAATAGGGAGAATTAAGACTATCTGTGGCTCAGGTGTAATAGAGTGGTCCTTTCTGCCACACAGGCCACTGCATCTCCTAAACATGACGGGTCTCCACACTGATAGTGTCTTTTTCAGTAGATCGACGGAGGAAACCTGCAGCAGCCTGGAACAGTTACAAGCTCCATGGATTCCTGTCCGCACTCCACAATTCAGGGGTTTCACCTAGGGCTTGTTGGCCTCTTTCCTAAAGTACTCCTGGAGATATATCTACTCCCAGTCCACATCACTTGACCATGACCGCCATACCCAGGGTCAGGTCCTCCTCGCTGGTCTGCAGTTGCCTAACCTCACTGCCTTCCCAGCTGAAGTGCTATGGTCCACACCCCCGCCCTCCTGACCATGTGGTCTACACCACCCGGTGTCAGGAGCTCGGAGTTGGGGAGGCTGACTTTCACCACCAGAACTCTTAACATCACACCATTTACCTTTCCATTTTCATTTCCCCTAACCTCCCCATGTTCTACTTCCAAAAGCTCCTTTGTTTTCCTCGCCAGTGCATAAAATCTTGGTCATATTTGCTTCTAAGCTCCATGCATATTTAGTATGGAACCAACAGTCTTGGCATCTTTTCCCATTTTTCAGACAACTGGAGCCGATCCAAACTTCAGAAAAAACGAATCATTCGTTTATTTCAACTGTGGCTGCCTCCCCCTACCCCCATGCACGAGCCCAAGTCAATCTGCAATTAGTGCTAAGCTTGCATTTCTTCTAAAATGCTTTCCCCCTGTTCGGAGGTATGGGTTTATTTACCCTTCCTGCAAAGTTCCCCATACTTCTCTGTAATCTCTATGCTTAAAGGACTCCCTAGGTCCTAAAGTAAGTCGCTTTGCCATAAAGTTCGCATCAACTTCCAAGTCACCAACTAGTTACGCTTTATCAGAAACTAAGTTCGGAGCACAAGTGTCGCTTTACGTCTTTCTCCACACTGTAAGACATACGCGGTCAGAAGGAAGATGCTGTATTTGCTCAGTTCTCTGTGCGAAGCAGAATGGAGCTGATAGTGGGTTTTGAGGCAGCATCCCCTATCAGTGTTGTGTCTTGCTTCCATAGACACAGCTGCCAAAACAACACCAGCATTCAACACCCAACCTGGGATCTGGCGAGAGTCTTCTTTTATCAATGACAAGACATGGTGAGGGTGGCTAAGTTACCGCCACTAACGGTAACGGCAAAGAGACCAGTGGCTACACATATTAAGAAAACCTGCACACATCAAAGACATCAACAACAAACATGGAGTAAATGGTCTAGGAAAAAATGATAATGCATTGTTCTATCATTTTTAGAAAATGATTTGGTTCAATTAAAAAAAAAGAAACCATTGGCCCTATTGAAGTATACTTCCGGTTTATAAAGCACGGCATATGGATCTATTACTTTATGGCTCCTGTGCTGTCTCCTTGACATCAACTCTTACATAACTTAAAACCAGCTGAGGAACAGTTTCCTTCTGCGGGCCTCTCCTTTGATACCTGGAGACAGAATCTGCTTCGTCCCCTTGTTCTCACGGCGTATTTTTAGCTTCTTAGACTCTCCGGCGCTCTATCCACCTGCAATTATGCTGCAGAAGCATCAGAAGACGCCAAGGAAAGGCCAGCAGCAGACAAGAGAGCAAAAGGCCTCTTCGTGGTCTTGACGGCTGCAGCAGGACAGCGCATGCCTGGCAGAGCTCCCTGTCTCCAGCCAGGCCCGGCCAACTCCCAAGAGCTGGACTTCCTTTCCGACCTCAGTGCGGGAGATGACTGCACTCTCCCCGAGTCCAGGAGGACAGGGCAGGAAGGGTGATAAGGAAAAGCCATGAGAGAGATGGCCTGTGACATGACCCTCGAGAGCCTGGAGGAACACCACCTATCACTCCGCCCTGCTTCTCACACAAAGCAAACCAAGGCCAAATGGGAGCTGTAGCTTCAGCTTGGAAACACAGCTCATTAGTTCTGAGTATTTTTTTTTTCCTTAAAAAAAAAAAAAAAAAGAATGAGTAATGAATCTGGGCTTTCCACAGGACTGGAGAAATGAGATGCTGTCAAGCAAGACATTTTGAAGGCATAGGCAACATTCTCTAGCAGAAGGCTCCATGCAGTTATGCAAAATTTTTTTTTTGTGAAAGACCATTACTGTCCTAGGATACATACAAAGTGCTGTTATGTGTAAGCATTTACTGCTCAATACGATCTGATGTTTTTACTCCTTCCACAATGATCTTTGCTCTCGAAGGTACTTCTGGCTCCTTAGTTTAAATTAGTACTTCGTTACTTAGCTGCGATAATGTAATCGCAATGGAATAAGACATTTGTATTCTATTCATCAACAGTAGTAGAAAATGCAAATTTACTTTGGAACCTGATGCACATGCATTCTTCTCTTAAGATGCAGGAAGTGGAGGTCTTCCTATTTCCAAAGGGGAACTGGTGAAGGATCGCACCTCAGAGCTTCAGGTGCTTATGAAAATAGAGGGACACTATCCCAGCAGGAACCCAGAGTTGACACACACTCAAGATGAGGCTAGTTTGTTAATTACCTTCTGACAAATAATGTCAGCTGGTTTCTCTTATGGGGTTGATGGTTCCCTCACAGGCTTCTATGAAAGAGGAGTACTCTTAAAAAGGATGTACCCATCAGTTTTTCTTAAATTCATATTTTACTTCTCACATGCCAAGTCAAATTGTATCAAGAAAATGAACTTCATCTGCATGTAGGCATTCCAGAAGCACATGGGAATACTAAGAAAATGCCCAAGAGTTGAGCACTTAGTGGGTCTTATGTATTTATCTTATGCCCATCTCCTGTAACACAACTTATATCCTCCACGGCCATGATCAAGGAAGTCTTCAGCAGCTAAGGCAATACTCACGGTTGACAGAGCTTCACCAGGTCTTGATCAGTGGTGTTGGGGGGCAGGCCTCGGATGTAGAGGTTTGTCTTGCTCAGCTGATCCCATCCTGAGTTGCTACTGCTGCTGCTGTTGTTATTACTGCTGGTGGTGCTGGGGCTGGGAGGGGCCATGGGGTGCGCTGGGACCAGAGACTGCTGGAAGCAAACACCAGAGAGTGTGTCAGAGCAGAGGTTAGGGGCCAAGCAGCACTAGAGGCTGTGTGAGCCACAAAAAACAGACAGACAGACAAAATATAAAAAAAGACACCAAGATTAAACCACAATTAGCCTGAGCTACTGTGACGTAAAATTGAACTTGTAGGTGAAAAAAGATCTATTCATTTTAAGACAGAAACAAAAACCAAAAAAACCCCTTCTTTCAGGATGAAATGAAAGAATTTTACTCAGCAATACCTCTACTGTGGATAAATTTATGGATAATCTATTTATTCACATATTTTAAGGAACACATCTCCTGAGACTCAAAATTAACTTGCATGAAGTCACATGATACTGTATCTTAATATACAGTAATTTAGAAATCACTAGGCTTTTGGAAAGGCTTCCAGATTCTGAAGACTATGTGAAAGTAGTTGATTATTTTATTTGGAATGCTCTTTAAAAAGAGACCACTCTGAATATGTAAGAAAGTTAGAGCTTCACCCAGAGCCTCAAACTTCTAAGCTTCATGGATCTATGGCTTCATGGAGACATCTGGATGAGATTCACCACAAGCTGCCTTTCACTCTGGCTGACCCTGTGAACTTTAACCTCTGTGAGAATGTTGTAGCTGTTGGAAACCTTCCCAGGAGCACATCTGGCAAAGCCTGCAGCCAGGGGCTTCTCAGGTGTGCTTCTCCAGCCAGCAGCCACTTAGGAAGGGTGTGTGACGTACACACACCAGAGACTACTGCTCCATGAGCTTGTGGAAGGAAACTCCAGCTCTCTGCCCTCTGCCCCATGCAAGACATTTGAGGAAGTTTAAAGGGCTCAGTCTGAGGGCAATGCATGGGACCTAAACTGTGCTCGCAGACAATGTGCAGCAGGGCAGGACTATTCTCCTTTCTTTCTTCTAAGTGATAAGCATAGTAAGCCAAGAGTAGCATTTACACAAAGCGTTTGAACACACAAACTTAAATACTTGCTAGACACTCAACAAAGATTTCAAATATTGATGCCAGGCATTTACTACTACAAAGATTAAGTAAGGCATATAGAAGAAAACCTAAACTCCACAGCAGAAAATGCTAATGGTAGACACACACAATAAATATACTCTCATTTATCTTGCCAGCAATTTCGGGTGCCCACTGTAGACTCCACGTTCTGCACCTCGTTTCTGCCACGGCACGCTAATTCCACATCGTACGCTGAGAACTCAGTGACTCTTTTCTTCTAGTCCCTTACCTTCCTTGCTCTGTTCAGGGTCTATGCTAAGCTGTTGTGCAAATACTACTTCATCTAAAGAGACTCTTTAAGAAGGGGAGTTTTTGGAAGAATGAGCAAATAGTGAGGAAATTCTACTTCCTAAGAGCTGAACTTGAAACTAGGACTATTGCTTAATCCAAATCCCCAACGGCCCTGCCTGAGATCACATCCTTCCCACCTATCTATGTGATTCAAGCTTTTCACGGGCAAGTGAACTCACAGGCTGTCCACACACCGCTGGCTTTCCTCTAAGGACTAACGGCGCTGTTTTCTAGGTATTAAAAGAAAAAAAAAAACCCACAAAACTACTCAGCCCTCTCCCCTGCTCTGCCACGGGTGTTACACGAAGTTCTCTCAGTATCTCCATTTTCCCACCCTCTCTTCTTCTCAGAGCTGGATTGAGGTATGAAGCTGCAGTCACTAGCCCCCATCTCCCAAGCCTCTGACTGAAGAGAGAGCTTGTAACCCTCATAGAAGTAGGTAAGCCTCAATTTTCTCTTAAATGTCATGTGATCAGTGCCTAAGACACCATCTTAGAGCATAAGGCGATTGGTATCAACCGCAGGGCAGAGGATGTTGGCTACTGAACGACACCAGGGATGTGTTGTGGGATATTTGTATTCCCTGTGGAGGTGTATTGCTGATTGGTGCAGGAAGAATAGGCGGGACTTGTGGGCCAAGACAGGAACTAGGGATGAATCTAGGCACACAGAGGAGCCACCAGGAGACACCAAGGAAGCAGGATGGGTGGTATGTGTCAGAATGTAGATTAAAAGAAATGGGTTAAAAGTTATCAGAGCTAGTTGAGAACAAGCCTAAGCTAAGGCCAAGCTTTCATAATTACTAAGTCTTCATGTCATTATTTATGAGCTGGCAGCCCAAAGAAGAATCCATCTACAGGGATGAAAGGCAGGCTGTAGTTCAGAGGTAGAGCTCTTGCCTAACTTACAGAGCCCTGGATAAAATAATTATGTGTCACGCTGGGGATGGCACCTGGAGAAGCAGAAAAGAGCTGTGGCTCGGCCTCTCCCAGTTTCTCTGTGAGATCACAGCAGGGGCCAAGCACACGTACCAGCAGCAGGCATTCTAAAGACTGCATTCCAAGACCGGGTCCATCCAGCCCTGATCTTGTCTGGTTCTGAGGGGGCATGCTGCGTGTGGGCTTGTTCTGATCAGAAGAAACATCTGGGTTTTCATGAATTAGGGGACTCTTTGGAACTCAAAGTAGGTTTTCCTTATGTGTTTACTGTTGACAGAAGGAAGAGACCCATGATCTGTACTTCTGAATTTATAGTTGGTTTGCTGTATGATGTCTGACAGCCGTCCATATTTACCGTACTAATACTTTCCCAGTGAGGGGAGCGGGTGAGGAACCCAGGTCTTCCTGTTGGGCTGCCTATTAGGGTATGGGACCTCCCAGAGTTCAGATTCCAGGAAGGACAAGAGGGTCCCACATTCTCACGAGGAGAACCATGAGGCTGGTGACTCCACTATAGCACAAAGTTCAAGTTAAATTTTACCTAAATATCAACACTTTCAGGGCTAGCTGAACACAGACACAGAACAAAAGGATTTTCGTTGTTTAAAAAAAAAAAAGTATAGAAACCTTTAAAGATGAACTGTTTACAACTCACTCAATCTGGGCTGGGAATACAGCTTAATAGGCATGAGCAAGGATTTGTGTTCAATCCCTGGTCCCATCCAACAAACAAACAAACAAAACTCATGGAATCTAAAAATGTAACCTCCAATGAGAATAGTACACACGTTTAAAAGCCAAAAGTCCAAGTACAATAGACCTTACCCCTGACTATTCAGAAAGGATTGACAATGGTCTAAGCAGTCTGAGTGCCATGCATAAAGAAGTGTCCATCTGCTAAATGCTGCATGCTGTGTCCTGCTTTCTAGTGAACGCAATAAACAGACAGGTACAGCACTGTTCTCTCACTGCACAGATTGGGAACTGTGTCTTAGAAGCATTTAAGTATTGCGCGCTGACATCCAGTAAGTAGGTGGCAGGGCTGCATTTTGAACTGAGATCTGCCAGGTAACCAAGTCAGAACCTTCAAACGCTCTAAGTAGCTTCCAAGCACGTTCCATCTCTTCAATGCACCATATTGCTTTGAGGTCCTGCGCCCATCCTCTTGCGACCTAATTCTCAAATTCTTGCTCTTTTGCAGTGTAACTCCGCTATGCCAGAGAAAAAGGTGCCTGCGGGTTACTCTAATTAGCACCCAGTGAACTGGTGGAGGTAAAAACCCCATTAGCTTGAAAAGGAGGATTAAATAAATCCTGCTTTATAAATTGTTCCCTTAAAGAGTAGGTCCTGAGGGGGAGAGTAAACTCTTAGAGACAGCTTGGCATGCACATGACCTTAGGTTCAACTCCACACTCTGCAAGAAATGATGAACAGGAGTGAATCTTTGTTTTTTTGTGAAACAGGGTCTCACCATGTAGGCCCAGGCTACCTCAAACTCATGATCACTGTGCCTGGTGGGCAATGGGATTGGAAGTGTATACCACTACACCCAGCAAAAAGAAGGAATTTTGACAGGCACAATGGAAAACATTATGAGGTTCTTTTAAAAATTAAAAATAAGAGTCTAGCGTGGTGAATCACATGCATAATCCCAGCACTTGGGAACCTGAGGCAGGAGGATCCAAAGTTTGAGCGTAGCCTGGCCTATACAGTGAGATTCAATAACAACAACAACAACAACAAAAAAGCTATCATGTGACCCAATAATCCTGCTACATCTGTAAAGGAAATGAAATCAATATGTCCAAGCAACATCTACACTTCCTTGATTACATCACCAGCTATTCATAAAAGCCAACACATGGTAACAAACTAAATGACCATTAAATGATGAATGGGTGAAGAATGTTTACATATACACAGCAGAATTCTATTTAGCTACTAGAAATGACATTGTAGTATTTACAACATCATAGATGGAACGAGAGGTTATATGTTAAGTGAAATAAGTAAGACACAGAATGATGCTAACCCTAAATCAAACCTGAAACCATCGATCTTGCAGAAGCTGTGAGCAGAATGATGATTACAGAGGCTGGGGGTGAGGGGGTGGAG